TTTCCAGAGTGGTTGTACTAGTTTACATCCCCACCAACAGTGTAAGAGGGTTCCTTTTTCCCTGCATCCTCGCCAACACCTGTTGGTGGTGGTGTTAAAGACCATTTTCTTAATTGTGGTAAAAAAGTTTCAAAGCTAACTTTCTTAACATTTTTAGTATTTCACATTGAAACAGAGCTCTGAATACCATTTTTATTTAGCTGGTATTTTAAATAAAATAGCAAGTCTAAAATATTATGGAAATCTAAATCTTCCTTTAAATTTTTGAAAATATCCATAACTATGAATGTGTTCTGGAAAATTCTGAAAACTTTACCAGCAAAGTTATAACATAATAATTTTTATATTTTGTGACTATTTCCTACTTCTAAGTTTCTGTATTGAACAAATTTATTGATTGTCCAGGCACTAGGTGCTAAGCAATAAAAATCTTAATCCAAAATTAACTACCAGTTGGTAGTTAAAAATTTATAGCAAAGATAAGTATTTTCCTGTTACTATATTAGAAGAAAACAGACTTTTTTCCTAAATTATAGGAAGCAAAAGGAAACTTAAGTTTATAATGTTCTAAAATTATGTATCTTAATAGTAGCACAAGAAGAATGTGGTGCTACTTCGGTAGCTTTAGTTAGTGCTTTAAGCATTCTGAGAATTCAGAGAGTTGTCAATTTTTGATTTTTTTACATTACTAATATTAGTCTTTAAATAAAAAAATCAAAACAGGAAACTGCTGCAAGAGTAAATCAGTCAGCTCTGGAAGCCGTCACTCCTTCCCCATCCTTCCAGCAGAGGCATGAGAGCCTGCGGCCAGCAGGGTGAGTTAGCATACTGAGTTATTTAAAGAACAATATGTATATTTAAAGTATTAGTGGGCACTTTGATTTTAGCAGTTCTACTTAACATTAGTAGTACATAGTTCTCTGAACAACAGGGAGGTATATTTTCAAAATGGTAAATTTATCAGTAAGGGTGCTAAATAAACGATGATTGCACATTTCCCTCGTATGTCCCTAAATTGAGATGATTTATGTTTTTCATTGGGAAGAAAGAGACCTATTGTTAAATAAGTAGCTATTGTTTGGGATTGTATTTTCATTGAAATTTGCTTTACTCTGTCATTTAACTTATTTGTGTTTTCTTTTCCATAGTTTAAGTGTTCAACTTCCAAAAGAAAATTAAATGTAGTACCTTCTTGTTTTCCCTGTGTTTAGACAATCTCGGCCACCTACAGCTCGAACCAGCAGTTCAGGATCCTTAGGATCTGAGTCCACCAATTTGGCTGCCCTGTCTCTAGATTCTCTTGTTGCCCCAGATACACCAATACAGTTTGACATAATTTCTCCTGTGTGTGAAGATCAGCCTGGCCAGGCAAAGGCCTCTGGCCAGGGAGGGAGGTGAGTGATGGCATCACAGGGATATTGTTCTATGGTGTGTAATATTTATGATTCCATCCAGGCACTGGTGGCTCATGCTTGTAGTTGTTAGGAGTCTGAGATCAGGAGGATTGTGGTTCCAGGCCAGCCGGGCAAAAATAAGTTCTTGAGACCCCATTTCAACAGAAAAAAGCTGGGTGTGGTGGTGTGTGCCTGTCATCTCAGCCTTGGCAGGAAGTGTAAAATAGGAGTATAGTGGTCCATGTCAGGCTGGGCAAAAAGCAAGACCCTATCTCCAAAATAACCATACCCAAAAGGACTGAGGTGTGGCTCTAAGTCCTGTGTTCAAACCCCAGTACCACCAAAAATATGTATTATTTTAATTCTAAATTGTTTTCAGGTCTATTCTGATAATTGCAGAAGAATTTTTTGTTTGTTTTGAGTTTTTTTCTTTTTTTGAGACAAGATTTTACTATGTAGTCCAGGCTGGCCTTGAACTCAAGATCTTGCCTTAGCCTTAAAGTGTTAGGATTACAGGTGTGCTCCACAACACCTGGCTGAGAAGTTGACAGTTCTATCTTTAGGTCATTATGCTATTTTAAAAGTTCTTAAGGGTAAAACATGTGCTATAGATTTATTAGAAAGTGTATGAGAATAAGTTTTTTAGGAAGTTACTAAAACATTGTGGCCGTCATTTATGTTTGATCACAAAAATACACTTAGTATTTGCAATATAGACCTGGCATGTATAAAAGAGATCAATTTCATGTTATCTTAGTTTAGTATTATTTTAGAACTGTTTTGCTCCCTTCTACCATAACCTTTGAAATGTACTTTTCTTCCTTCATTGTGAATGTGCCACAAACCAAGAACAAGGACCAGATAGCTTCTATCTCTAGTTTGCTTCTCTCCTTGCATTGCTACTTAGGCCTTGAGAAATACAGGGTTTCTCAGGTTGTTTGTGGTGCTTGGGCTCAAACCTAGGCCTCAAGTATCCTAGCAAGTGCCCTTCTCCTGAGCTATACACTCATCCTCAAGAAGTACAGGTTTATATAGTTAACTTGCAACCGGTACTTAAGAGAACATAAACAGAGGCTTAAAGTTCCAGGAAATCCCTGGCATTTTTTTTAAGCAGCTAAGATTATAACTAAGTCATTGTTCCTCTGTGCTAGCTTATTTAAATTCAAGAACTTTTGCAAGAAGGTTCATGATGTTGATTTGTTGTTGTGTGGCTAAATTTCCAATGCATCTTTGTCTTCTAAAATGCAGCAACATAGAGTTGGGATATAGCTTGTGGTAGAGCACTTGCCTAGCATGCACAAGACCCTGTGTTCAGTTCCCAGTACCAAAGTAAATAACTAAATAAATACTATAGTAACACTGGGTTTGGCCTATTAACTGTGTGAGGACAGAGTTTGTATCATAGTAATTATCTCGTCAGTGTTGTTTATTGACAGGATGGGACATTTTAGAGTTTTACTTTTTTAAATGTATGTGCTTATTTTTTAACTCTGGTTTCATTTATTAGAGTTCTTCCATTGTGGCTCATGGTAATTGACCTTTTTTTTTTCTAAATTTTTCAGGCGTACAAATCCATTTGGAGAATCTGGAGGAAGTACAAAATCTGAAACTGAAGGTAGAACACAGATGTGCAATATTCTTACATTTTAGAGCTTCTTGGTAGTAAACCATGCACATTTTGTCATTTACATTTTCTCTGTTGCTATGCTAAGTTTTTGTTGTTGTTGTTGTTTTATTTTATTTTTGGCAGTACTGGGGTTTGAACTCAGGGTCTTGTGTTTGCTAAGCAGGTGCTCTACCTTTTGAGCCATGCCCTCAGCCCTTTTTTGCTTTAGTTAAATTTCCCTATAGTGTCTTACATTTTTTCCTTGGCTGGCTTGGACTATGATTCTCCTACCAGTGCCTCCTGTATGCACTACCATGCCTAACTTACTTGTTGAGATGGGGTTTTTTGCCAGGCCTGACCTCAAACCACGATTCTCCACATAGCTAGGACTATAGGTGTGTACACTACATGCAGCTGTTTCTTTAATTAATTTTTTTTGTTGGTACTGGGGTTTGAACTCAGGGCTTTGTGCTTGCTAGGCAGGTGCTCTACCACTTGAGCTGCATCTCCAGCCCACAGTTTTAATGGTGTTTTTACTTCAAAATTTTCTCTGTCTACTCATAGTATACTTAAGGAAATAGAACTTAATCTGATTTTATTAATCATACAGAATTATAGGGTATCATATACTTTTGGCCTTGTACTTAAGATTAGGCATTGTACAGGCTATCCTTCAAGCTCTTCTCAACAGCTGATGGTTTTCATTTCTGGCCCTGGAGCATTTTAATTTTTTTTCCAGAAGCTTTTATTCTTATCTAATGTAATTCCAAAGTTACAGAAAAGTTGTAAGAATAGTACAAGGAATTATTTTTACCTACAACCACACTGTTGAAGCATTACCTTTTGCTATTTGAATTTGAGACCTTAATTTTTCAATAACGTGGACATTGTAGTTAGGAGTTATATCTAAATACCTCTTTTAGGTTGAAATTTTCATTGGAAAACCTACAAGGAGGCAGTATATTTACTTGGAAAAGAAATGTGGGGCAAAAACCAATACCTAAAATAACTTGTTCTCTTATAGACTCTATTCTTCACCAGTTATTCATTGTCCGATTCCTTGGTTCTATGGAGGTGAGATCAGATGATCATCCAGACGTTGTTTACGAGACAATGCGTCAGATCTTAGCAGCTCGGGCCATCCATAACATCTTTCGTATGACAGAATCACACTTATTAGTCACTTGTGACTGTTTAAAGTAAGTAGTTATCCTCCCTAAAAAACTTGTAGGAAAAAATGTTTACATAATTTCTTCCTAATTAAAATTTGTTTCCCAAATTTGTAATTACTATTGTAGGTTAATTGATCCACAGACACAAGTTACAAGACTTACAGTAAGTTCTGCATGATTGAATCTTTAAGTCCCTTTATTCATATATACACTGTGTAATTTGATAATCCTGATCTTGTATATTCAGTGATGGTACTATCAATTAAGATTGGTCTTTAGGCTGTTAGAGTTAAGTCTATGACCATCTTCAAAAAATTAAAGTTGAATATTCTGTATAACATAAAAGAATGAACACAATCTGGTGTGATACTTAGTGTTTATCTCTCAGTTAGGGAGCATATGTCATATGCCAAAGAAATTAACAGTAGAAATTAAGAAGTGAAGGATTGAGTTTATTTTATAATTATGATGTACTTTGAAATTGCAAGTGTGTGTTTTTATTTAATCATTTATTAGGCCATTTTTGTTATGGAATTTGGTTTTGTAAAATGTGTTAAGTGACTAATAAGATTCAGTAGTCAACAACCTCTTGTTCTCCTGGTAATCCAAATCATGTATGACATTATTTGTTCTTGAATTACCAGTTGTTAAAAATAATGGCCTTAAAATTCTATTTATATTTTTAGAACTCAGCATATGAGTTTGTCGTGTGTTAGTATTGCTGTAATGATTTGGATGATCCCGTGTTTACTTATAATATTCTCTGTGGCAGTTTCCACTACCTTGCGTAGTTTTGTATGCTACACATCAGGAAAATAAGCGACTTTTTGGATTTGTTCTCCGGACATCAGGAGGGAGAAGTGAAAGTAATCTGTCATCTGTCTGCTATATATTTGAATCGAACAATGAAGGGGAAAAGGTATCTCAGTTTTCAAAACATTTCTGTTGTGAAATATGTATTATAATCAGGTTTTACTAAGATTTCTGGGGAAAAAAACCTCCCAGATTATGTTTAGTTCAATTGAGCTGGTTGACCAAAGCTTGTTTTAAAAAGAGCCAAGCCAGGTGGTTGGGCCTGCTGACTGAACAGACCACTATCTTCCTGGCCATTGATTGCAGGTGCAATATTCTAGCCTCATTAAAACTTATTTTGGGAGTAGAATATATTCCCATTATCAGTCATTTTCAGGTGCCATTAGCTTACAGTTGCATCAGCAGCTGCTTCCTTCATTCTTTTCAGGCTTTACTCTCTCAGTAATGAATCCGAGATAATGAATAGTGGGGAAATATGAAGGAGGTGAGAGCCGGCAGTGGAAGTTCACAGACTCTGAAGAAAACATACAGAGGCTTGTTTTTGGGCATTCTTAAATCAGCTTTTATTTGAAGCAGTTATTATGTTGAATTTTAACACTAGTTACATCAGCCGTTTAGTTACTTGAAATTTTTGCTTTGAAGTGAAAACTGTCTTGAATTTTTCATACTTTTTTCCTTTTTAGATTTGTGATTCTGTTGGTCTGGCAAAACAGATAGCTTTGCATGCTGAACTGGTAAGAATATAAGAGATACTTAATTTTCCAAGAAGGTTAACTAAAAGAGTATAATATAAGCTTTTTCATATTATTTAGCAAGTAAATAAAATGTTTTTGCTAAGTAAGGTTAAGTTTATAATTTAAAATTATTTCATATTTAATTCATTAGTTTTTCTCATCCGTTCTTTAGGATCGGAGGGCATCAGAAAAACAAAAAGAAATAGAAAGAGTAAAAGAGAAGCAACTGAAAGAGCTCAGTAAACAAAAGCAGATTGAAAAGGTATGCAGACCTAATGTGTGGATCTCCTCTTTATTTGGTGTTTATTCAGCACGGTGATTTTCAGATTTGAATTTCCAAATGAAAGTGTTTTCTGCTTGCTCAACTACTTCATAAGCAGATGATTCATAATGAGGCAGAAAAGGGTAACGTCTGAATTACAGGATCACTACACTGACACACAATGTGACTTGCTCTTAAGCAAACATACCAGAACTTTCATATTCCACTCAGGGTTTGTCACAGTAGTTTTTTGTGTTTGTTTTCTTAGTATTGGGGCTTGAATTCAGGGCTTTGTGCTTGTTAGGTAAGTACTTTACTACTTGAGCTACGCCTTCAGTCCCAAAATAGTTTTTTTGAATATTTATAGACTTAATTGCCATTATTGAAAGCCATATTGTCCTCTAAGGGGAAAATGTCAGAAGTGTCAACTCATTGTCCATGTGTGTGCATGTGTGCGTGTGTGCATACACGCACACACATATATACGCATATATATGTATACACACATACACAATACGTTTTTCTTGGTAGTGGTGCTGGGGGTCAAACTCACAAAAAGATAATGTTAAGTTGCACAGTTTTTGAAGCCAAATGTTGATTAGTGATCCATGAGATTTTAAGAGCCTATTATAGGTAGTGGCATTGACAATAGTAATAATACTTAAGGAGAACAGATGAGTAAGAATTGGCATTGGGTTGGATATGTGGACAAAGAAGGGGAAATGGTAAAGATGACATGGAAGTCAGGCTTCCTTGAGAGTCTTGACTGAGGGTAAGCAACATCCAGTTTAGCAAGAAATTGGGCAAAGATGGAGATGAGATCTGGAGAGGGGTATGGAATGATCCATCATGAAATTTTTACTATGAGTTACTTACTGTAAAGAGTATAGTGTAGAGATGATGCGAATAGTGAGACATGATGATAGCCTAAATTGGTTGTTGGGCAAAAAAAAAAAAAAAAAGAGAGATTTTAGTTTGAATGTTGGCTTTTATAGGATTTCTAGACTGGTGCCAAAATCACTTTGGTGTTGCATTGATTAAAGTTGCCAGAATTATGCATACATATTTATGACAGGATTGAAGTGGCTCTCAGGCATGTATTTTAACTGCATAGGTTTCCATTTGACTGCAGACAATTAACTTAGTTTCTTTTTTATCTTTTCCACTAGGACTTGGAAGAACAAAGTCGGTTGATAGCTGCTTCCAGTAGACCAAACCAAGCCAGTAGTGAGGGGCAGTTTGTTGTCCTTAGCAGTAGCCAGTCAGAAGAGAGTGATTTGGGAGAAGAAGGAAAGAAGAAAGAGTCAGAAGCATAAACTCATCCTTGATTTTTTTGATTGATTTCTCCTTCCCCTCTTGGAATTTGACAATTTCTGTGGTGAAATGGCACAAGGTAACAACTATGTTGAAATATCAAGAAGGAAACTAAGCTTTATAGTTGCTGTTTTAGCTTCATTTTAAAAAGATTGAACTTGATGACTTAGGTTTACATTAAGTTCTTTTTCTTAAAAATAGTAGACTGTGCATTAACATTAAATTCCACTTGTCTAAACAAAACCTGCTTATTTCCCTAAAATAGATTTCTAAAGAGTTACACTTCCTTACACATTTTTTCCTGAAAATTACAAGTGCATTGTAATTGGCTGTACCCATAAGAAATCATTTATTCAGGTTCAGATGTTCTCCCCTTTCATTATAGGAACATTTTGCTGTTAGTGAAGAAGCATTCAACTGAAAATAAGTTTAACTCCTTTCCATAGAGAAGTTAACAAATTTGCAAATATTTTAACAATATTAAATATGCAGTAGATGTATAAAATCATTAGAACAGAGATTTTAGACTTAAAGTCTCCAATTGTGGTAGGTGGTACTGTTAATTTCAAGGCACTTTCTTGGCTTGCTCCCATTTCTCTGATGTGTTAGTGTCAGGAGGAAAGAAGCATAAGTGTCTCCAGTTCAAGATTGATTAGAGACCTTGGTGTTTTGTTACCATATTCTTAGTTCTCAGGTTGGGACTTCAATTATTGCTGCAGAGCAGTAATGTGTGGTGACTAAGATTTCAGAATCCACTAAAAGAGATTTTTTGTCATTCAAATACATTTTAGATTAGGAGTGACATGTAAAGATACTGTTATAGGATGAGACATTGTATTTTCTGCATTGTGTGAAATAATTTTTACTGATAATCAAATGATGTTTCAAAAGAAGTTCTATAACAATTATGGTTACTGCTTAAGGTAAAAATTTGCAGCTTAGTTTAGAAAATGTAATCTTTTAAATTTCAGATTGATATTCCTAGTATTTTCATAATTCCATGTTTTGATAATGGACTGAATCACCACTTTATATCCACAAAGGCAAATAACTAATTTATGAACATAGAGTAATTTGCACTAATTATTGTAAATACTTCTAGTTTTCAAATGAGTAAAAAGGTCTAACTCCATGAAAGATTGAAAAGAAATTGAATGCCTGGTATAGTATAGAAGTTGACCAAGGAATGATTTTAGCCTGGTGCCAAGGTTAAAATGATACTTCTTTATTGCCTATCTTCTATGTCAAAACTTGATTTTTTTTCTTTATTCAGATTTTAAACATTGCTGATAGAAATTATGTTCATGTGTTCCACATGAAAAATTCAAATATATCGAGTTAAATATTTTACATAGTGTTAACATTTACAGATTTTTCAAGAGGTTAACCACTAAGACTTAATTTCACAAGGGAAAGGCCTTTTATTCTTTAATGTGTAGTTTCTTCTTCATAGTTCTGAATTAGAAATGGCATTATTTTAGTTCTCAGAATATAACTCAGTTCTTTCACATTGTGTTCTTTAGGGATGGGATAGATGGTTATAGATGGTTATATATAGGATCATGATATTATTTTTCTCCATGTGCCAAATGGGAGTAATGATTATTAAATACTCTTTGAAGATTTATGTTACCAAAACATAGTAAACAAGTGGAAATTTGTGGAATCCTTTCTAATTAAACATTTATTTTGTGCTTACTAAAGGGAATGTTTTCACAATAGTGTATCATTCCTTTTGTTGATGTTGAAATTTCTTCAGTGGTCAATACTTGATTGGTTGTGGCAAGTCCTGCTTTTAAGACCTCTTTTTTTTTTGAGGTTGGTAAGCTTTCTGTTTTAGTAAGTCTTGTCTTCATATAACATGTTGCCTCACTTAGGTCAGATGAACTCTGTTTTCCTACAAGGAAAGTGGTCTTTATTAGGAGGCAGTTTTACTTGGCCAGTTCTTCTGCATGGTCACAAAGTACTGCCTTTGTTAGCAGTCTCCTAGTATAGCCAGGATTAAGGATACTGGCAGACTTAAGGATACTGGTCAGACTTGTATTCCTTTTAAGTCATGTCTCATAGGAATTTCCACAACAACATGTCAGTGTCCATACATTCCAATGCCAAGTAGAAGTCATGACTGGGCTTAACAGTTTTAGATGATTCAATTTCTCTTCCCTTGCTGTTAAACTATATGAACAATTCCATTATTGCAGACATGTCAGCATCAGCTTTAATAAGCACTTGTTTTTTTGTGTAAAGAGGGCTCCAGTGAGTTTCTTCCTAATGTTAAAGCTGATCTTGCTCTGTTGGTCATCCTGTGAAATCCCTTCTAGCTCTGGGATGCTTTGATGGTAATTGGATTAGATTTGGGGCTTTTTTTCTTACTCAAACTTACACTTAATGGTTTTTAGAAATTAACAAAAACTGTTTTTTTTTTTTTAAAGAAAAGGACTACAGCCTGCTTACTTTTGCTGTGCATTCTGTTATCTGTATGTTCACCATATGAACAGTACTTTCATAACTATGGTGATGAGGTCAGTAGATAGGAGTCATTTATTCTTGCATCCTTTCTGAATTTTGAAAACTTGGTACCTAGGGACTGAACCTGTTACCTGGAACAGAGTCCCTAAAGCTTCTCTAATTTTTGCCAGATCCTTAATTATTATTTTGTTTTTAATTTCAAAAGAATTCTCAGGCTCCACAATTTAAGGGCAATGAAGTTGTTTCCATTATTCTTTGGAAAAGGACTGTCAGATATACATAGCATCCTAGGTAATACACAGTTTTGTGTAGCAAAAGCATTTGAATTAAATTTGATACCTATCTCTATATATGTATCACCGTAGTGTTTAAAATTTGAATCTTATAAAGTGCTGACAGACTCTTAAGAGCTAGCATACTGCGAAACCTTCTGCCACATAAATTAAATGAAAATATAATTGATTCTGATAACCTCTTAGCATTCATATTGTATTTTAAATATTTAAACATGCTGGTTTATAGAAAGAGCAAGAAGCCCTTCATTTTAGCTTTAGCAAGTTTGATTTTTGTTCTGTATCAAATTAATAGCCCATAAAGATTTAAAACTGGAACCATACTAAACTCTTAACCAATTTCTTATGACTACCCTCCTGTCATTTACTTCAGTTAATATGTGAACCAGGAATTAAATTATAACTAAAGAACAAAATTGCTTTGTATATATGATAATTTTGTAATGCAAGTGAACTGGTTAATTCTTATTTCACTGATACTATTAACTGTGCAGTGTACAGTTAAAAGTCATGCACCGTTTCCTTTAGAATTGGATTTGAAGAACTCACATTTATGTGATCATGGTAGTCATGTGGAGCAGAGAATTTTTTTTTCATTTTGTCGAAATAGGTATTTACTGACAAGGCTTCAAGAAATATGTTGTTTGAAGTCTTTCATGTATAATAAAAGCTATGATTTTTGTACAGTCTTTTTTGTATGAAATATTTGATATATACTATGAAGTTTATTTCTCCAAATAATTTCAAATGATCTTTTTAATCTAACACTATAATTACCTATTTAGTTCCATTGCAATTATACAACAGCTAAAATAAAAAAAAAAAAAGTCACTGATTAGGAAAAGCTTGTTATAGAAGCAAACTAATTCATTATTAGTGAGTTTTTTCTTATGGCAAAGGAAAAAGATTTTAATAATTATTCTAGTATGTTACAGATGATCTGTACTTGCTGCTGTACTTCAAGAAATTAATTTTAAGGGGCAGGTAATTGTGTGCTCCAGCTGATAGCTTTAATACTAATGTTTACTCATCTCATGTGCTCCTTGTAATTTGACCACTCTCTGAATTCTACTGAGTTTGTGTTCTAATTTGTTTTGAATTTTATAAAAATGTGTATATACTTTCAGGAGATCAAGGGAGTGGATGAAATTAACTTTAGAATTATGTAATTTATTTAAGTGCATGTATATCATAAATATATTTGTATATTGACATACATATAACCTTCCACTTGCTTATATATGCACACAGAATTTGATTAAAAAAATAAAATCTTCATGTCAGCTAGTATTGAAATTTTTTAATGCACAAAACTATAAAAGTAATCTAAGTCTCCTTCCTGAAGTAGTCTGTCACCACGAATCTTCACATCAGAAATCATCTGGCTTCAGCTGTATTAAAATGGATGGTTTATGTTAAATGCTAAGACTGAATATGTAAACATCAAAGCTATCACTGATTGGGCTTTGATGAACACAGCACGATCTCACCTCTCTTGTTCCTGTTGTGCCATCTCAATAGGACAGAGATGTGACTGAATGAACATCTCAGGTGTCCTTCCTCACCTTTCATAAACAAGCCGATAGTTATGTGTGGTATTTAATATGTAACAATATATAAATTAACATTCTCCACTTATATGCAGTATATTATATATAGAAATAAAAATTTAAACTGGCATCTTTTGTTACTAAGTGTGCCCCTCCATGTCCAATACCAGGCTGAATTCAGTACAGAAACTAAGTTCCTTATTCATATGGAAACACTTTTAATCCCATTCCAGGGACCACATTAATCAATAAGAAAAAAGACAATGTTTTTCTCATTAGTGATGAAATTTATTTGTTTTTTGGGGCAGTACTGGCGTTTGAACTCAGGGCTTCGCACATTGCTAGCCAAGCGCTCTACTACTTGAGCCATTCTTCCTGCCTGAAATTTTGATTTAAGGTTCTATTTCAGTTAATTGAATTACCCCATCTTTGTAGTTGGCTACAAAGAAACAATGTCAGACACAGAGATGGCACTGAGATTTTGCATATGGACAGCTAATTTCTAGATCAGGTAATGGAGTCAATATATATTCAGTTCGGTCACTAAGACATATACTTAAAAACATTACTGTTAAGATTCATCTTGAATTGTCAAGAGATGGCATCTATAATTTTGAGCACAAAGAAACTGAATTCATACACTTCATATAAGATCAGTACAGAATTAGAACTGGTGTATTTCAGTTAATTGAAATTTTTACTATTTTTTCCCCCTCCCAAATAGGATCTTCCTGTGTAGCCCAAGCTGGCTTTGAACTTGCTATCCTCCTGCCTCAGCCTCCCAAGTAGCTGGAATTATAGGTGAATGCTACCATGCCAAGCTGGATTTTGTTTTTTTAAAGCTTTAGAATTTATCCATTTAAGTGTTGAGAGGCTATGTTTGGAGCAACTTTTTAATGAATGTAGACGACACTGAGCTTTTAGGTTTGCTGAGTAAAGCAAAATATCTGAATCATATATAAGTCAAATATTAAGAAAACTGCTGCAGAGTAATACCTTTTCCTCTAGAATAGATTACCAGGTTCCTGTAAAAATTCCTTGTCCGTAAAGGTCATATTCTTTGTAAAGGATGTATGCTTTTAGACGATTGGGTAATGGAAGAAACGACATGAAGACTGGGCAGCGCAAATGTAAACGTCCCATACATTTCCGGATCTTTAGACGACACAAATGTTTGAGGGAGCGAGGGTTTGCTAAAATGAAAGAAATAGGTACATTATCCAGCAGGAAAAATAATTGCTTTATTTTTTAATGACCAAAGGGTTTAATTTAGCACATGTATTTGCTACTTAAGCCACCAGGATTTGTGTTTGCTGTGACTAAATGGGAATGTCAGTAGGGAAACAACTCTTCAGTTCTCGTGCAACCCTTTATGTAGGTACTGTTTCAAAGCCACATCAGGTTGGAGTTTAAAGATGCATCAGTTGTGGGTTTGACTGGTGAGATCCAAACCCTTAAGTCTCCGTTAGCACCCCCATTCTGTCCTTCAGGGGCAGGATAAATACTGAAGATCACCCTGGGAGAAACCATGTAAAAAATTTTTTTTTTTTTTTTTGGCAGAACTGGGGTTTGAACTCAGGACCTCATGCTCTCTAACCAGATGCTCTACCACTTGAGCCACTCCACCAGCCCTTTTTTGTGATGGTTTTTTTGAGTTAGGGTCTCATGAACTATTTGCCACAATCCTCCTGATTTCTGCTTCCTGAGAAGCTAGGATTCCAGGCATAAGTCACTGGCGCCTGGCTGAAAAATTCTTAATTTGACTGATGTACTACTTTGAAAGAACAGATGCCATCTCTGACATTTGATACCTGTTACAAGATTAGATCTGAGCTTTTTCTCATCCCTCTTCTTACTGCTATTTTACAGCTTTTAATTCCAGTGTGTTTGTGTTCCTTCATAGCCATGGTTTAAGTGGACTAAGAAAAAATTATTACCTACCTATGTAATAAGTAATTCCCTAACAGGTTTTTATCTACTAAAAAATGGTGAGAAGCACAAATTAAGTGTGGTTTGGAGCACTACATTTTTAGAAAGAAATAGTATCTTTGGTTTCTTTAGGTCAGGCTTTTTTTAAACCAGAAGAGAGTGCTATAAAAATCAAATAAGAATACAGTTAGTATTTTGGTAAGAATTTGCTACAAGAAACATACTCACTCAAGATAAAATGTATTTCTGACCAGAGGCCCTGTTTTTGGAGCACAGCTTTCAACTTTGAACAGATCCGAACTTGATCAACATAATCAAGCATAACTCGAATTACTTGCCCAGAGAGATGTTGCAGCCATGATAAAGTTATTACTTCACAGAACTGAGAAGGAAAAAAAATCAGAAAGTGAATGAAAAGCATTAAGTATCTGTGGTTTAACACAGTAATCAAAAGAATATTAAAAGTCAAGAACTAAAGTCTCAAGTTCCTCTGATCTCTTAGCACTAATATTTGGGAAAGAATTTTTCAGAATGCCTCAGAACCACATAAGATATTAGGGTGTGACAGTGACAAAGATAGTTTCATAGTATCTGGTAACTGCTTTGGTTGGTCACCTGGCTGTTTGCAATAAATATTACCTTTCCAGCTTCACTTGCAGCTAGGTGTGACCACTTACCCAAGTTGTAGCCATTAAGATGTAAGTGGATCTGAGCAACTCCCCAGATACACTTAAAGAAGAGTAATGTGTGCGTATTCCTCCTGCTGGCTGCAGTGTGGATGTGAGTGTCTTCTGTAAATTATGAAGCTGTCCAGATGAAAGGCTTTTACTTCTGACTTTTGTTTGTACAGAGAAGAGGAATCCCTTTTATTTTAGTTTTTGAGATGGGATCTCGCTATGTTGCCTGCCAGGCTGGTCCCAAATTCCTGGGCTCAAGCCATCTTCCAGGCTGAGCCTCCCGAGTATCTGGGACGGCATATGTGCACCCATGCCCACTTATCACTTTGTTAAAGCTTTTATTTTTGAGTTTTCTATCATTCATAACCTAATGCCACCCTGATACATGAGAGAGATGAGACGGTTTCTGCTTTTAAGTAATTTATATGCTCTGAGACAATATGCTTAGATGAGAATGCAAATATGTGAACAGTCAGGAGATGATTCCACATGGCATATGCCTAAATGCCAAATTAATGTAGAAAGTTAAGTCCTGCATGAATCACATAAAAACAAGTCATACAATATAAGATCTTTCACTTTTCAGAAGTGCTTTGTCTAGTCCACTATTTTGTTTTCACATTTTGATAATATGAATTCAAGAAATAAATGCTGTAAAAGAAATGATCCACAAGGTATGATGATGATAGGGGAAGAGAACTACCTCAAATAAGGTGAATGGAGGTAAAGCCTCTGGGGAGATGACTCTTGAAGCCAGACCTGGAAAGTGGCACACATTTGAAAATCCAGGGGAAAAGTTCACATTGGAAATAGAAGTGACCAAGCCAGGAGCCAGTGCCTCACACCTGTAATCCTAGTTACTGAGGAGGCAGAGATCAGGAGGATGGCGGTTTGAAGCCAGTGTAGTCTGTGAGACCCTATCTTGGAAATACCCAATCAAAAAAGGGTTAGTGGAGTGGGTCAAGTGGTAGTGTGCCTGTTTAGCAAGCATGAGGCCCTCAGTTCAAAGCCCCACAGCCAAAAAAGAAAAAAAAAAAACAGGTGACCAGAGCTGATAACTCATTCAAAGAAAATGTACAGCTAGAATGTAAGACTGTATTAAAACGTTCAAGTGTGGCTTCATTTGTGAAAGTTCCTGACAGACTTAGCTAATGTCATTTTTTTTCTTCTGAATTCTTATATCTTTTCCATCTTTCTATTGTTTTCTACTGTAACAGTATCTTTCTACTGTTTATCATATTGTAGTTATTTTTATCATATATACCATACTAGAGTTTCCAACCAGGAGCTTCTAGAGAGTGGGTTATGACTACATTAAGGTAAGACTACCAATAATGTGGACTTACCATAGTATCTTTAATAACTGTAGGTGTCCAGCCTTCAAAAGTATAAAAAGGTTGAACTTTGTCCCCATGAGGACAGTCAAAACATCGCTCTGTGTCATACCCATAATTCAACAGCATCCTGAGCATGACTTCATCTTTCAATGTGTATTGCAGTGCTGATGGGAAATGCAAAGGGTTAACTCTACAGAAGTAATTGACATTGGCCCCATGCCTCAGGAGCAGACTTATCAGCTCATAGTTGCCCATCCTGAGAGCTATCTGTAGGCAGTTAACTGGGTCTTGATTGGGTAGTGCTCCAGCACTCAGAAGCAGCTTAACTGAAGAGAGGTCACCATTTGATACAGCAAAATACAAAGCTGACTTCCTTTGGTCATCATAGTGTTTGCGAATTCTCTGATCTAGCATGAAATTCACATCAAATCCAGCCTGGATGAGAAGTTCCAGGCACTGAGGGTGTGCTCCTGCTGCTGCGCAGTGAACTGGACTGATCCCACTCTGCTTGATGGCAGCGAGGTCCGTAACTGGAACCAACATCTTCAGAGCTCTGAGAAAGAATTTCACAATGCAGTTCTAAATTGTTTTTGTTAAGCTGCACAGTTAACCTGTTTGTAATTCTTTTATACTCACACTGGTTGGTATTAGTATCAGGTAGTATTTCAGACCTCTAGTAGAAGTGCTACTTCCTTCATTCAGAAGTTCAGAGACCTAGTAAAATTTAGTGGGACTACTGTCTAAGTTAAAAACTCAGAATCAACCCAAGTTGAGACTTAAGCCTTCCTGTATTGCCTGGGGCATAACAGTGAAACAGTTTGATTTGTCTTCAGTGGCTTCAAAGGTTGCCTGGCCTTACCACTTAATCTAGTTGGTCAAGAGTTTCTTTAAAAAAGGGTGTTTAGGTCACTGGATGAGAGAAAAAAAATTCATGAAGTTCCTAGAAGTATGTAATGTTTCTTTTAAGACTGATGAACCAAACAGGTTAGGTATTACTATTTCAATTGTTTACAATAATGTATTTGAACTTACAATAAGTGACCTCTGTCAGCTGCCACATGAATGGGCAGATGTCCTGAATTCTTAGGGATGTTGGCATCAGCTCCGTACTCTAGCAAGAGAGTCAGAGAGTCTGGATTTCCTCCTCTTGCAGCTTCAAGTAAGATGGAAGAAGAATCAGAGGCCTGACTGTGAGCATTAGCACCTAAGAGGAGAGAGTGTTGTTATGCAAGAATGCTTTTCCACTGTATTGCTTAAGCAATCTTAAAATACATTGCCACCACCAAAAAGCAATTAATGAACACTACTCTAGCAAAGCACTAGGAATCAAATAAATAAAATATGTACCTCCTGTTTCTAAGCAGTTTATAAACTAATTGGGGAGGGAAAAATGGCTTAAGCAGTTAATAAATTATAATTGGGTTGACTTTCATAGTAATTTTATGTTATTTCTTTGAAACTTGAAAATTTCAGTAGAAATATTTATAAAAGGTGGCTTGCTTTCTGTACTATCCTACAAAAGCCCACTTAACTCATGCTTACACACAGGATAGTACTAACAAGCTGAATTACATATCACCATGCCATCTAATGATGATTTGCTGGAAAGGGCTGTTCTGTTTTAACTCATTTTAGGGAATTGTTAATAGTAAGAGACATTGTCACTGTTTTTGATTGAAGTTGGGAACTGCTGATAGCTAAAAAAGTCAAATTGTAGGATCTGTACATACGCTAAGTGTTCTGTGAGTGGTGTGGACAGTAAGGCAAAAAATGTCTTCTAGGGGATCTAGGGCTGGGGCTGGGAGGTGAAAAGAGAAAGGAATTTGGGTCACTTCTGGAAGGCTTATCTGTAAAATGGGCTGTGAAGAAACAGCATTTGGATGGACAAAATGTGAGGAAGCATTCTGGGCACACTTACAACTCACAGATTCCACAAGAATCATCACGGCACAGTGACTGCCGAAGAACCGCATTCCTCCAGTGCATTAAGGAATCCAGTAAGCCCGCATTTAATGAGCACTCACTGTGTGCTGGCTCCTTTATGTACGCAGTAAGTTCTAAACTTACAGCAAACTCCAGAATAGGTGCAAATACCCTCATTTTAAAGATGAGGAAACTGACTTACTAAGTTTAAGTAACTTCTCCAAAGACACACAGCTACTAAGTAAGTGCGGTAATTAGGATTTGTACACAGATCTTCCAGACCCAGGGCTTTTTTTTTTTTTGATGTTATGTTGGCATTGTAGCGACACAGAGTGGTAAGGTAATATGATTTGGAATCAGATAGATATGGTTTCAAATACTGGCTCTTTCATTTACTGCAAATTACCTTGTAAAGGAAATGCTCAATCAGTGAACTCATGATGAACTAAGTGCTGGTTTCTTTAAAGGGTAAAAGATTTAAACTGTTGCCTCTCCTGTTTTATATATATTTTAATAAATGATCTAAACAAAGGATTACTCTTGGGCTAAGGTGTAGCTCAGAGGTACAGCACTGCAAAAATTAATTAAATTTAATTAAACTTTCCTCAAAGATGGAAGATCCAGTCTTTAGTTTTGTTATTCCAGCTAAATAACTTTTGACATCTCACATGTAAACTTTTACTAAGTCCCAATATTAGAATTATCTTCTTTATTCTCTTCCCTGTGTCGAGAAGCCTTATTATTTATTTATTTATTTTAACAATACATGGTCCTGGTCTCCAGTATTCTAGGTAGCAACCCTGTGCTTCATAGACTTACCTAAGTCTCTCCTGTGATACAGCAGAAGCTGCTTTCCAATAAATGCCTGTAGGACATTTTAAGTAAGATGTTTGAAATAAGTGACATGTAAGATGTAGAAAGTTATTTAGCTGGAAAACCAAAACAAACACTGGATCTTCCATCTTTGAGAGAAGTGTAATTAAACTTAATTTTTGCAGTGCTAGGGATTGAACCCAGGGCTTATTTCAAACATTTCTAATGTTGGGACTTTATTAGTAAAAGTTTGCTTCTTTAAAAATGACAGATATAACTGCTTCTCTAACACTATACCAATGGAGGTCTTCCCAAAGACAATAAATGCCCAAGTTCTCTAAGCCAAGGGTCTCTGCCAGGTAAACCAGGATCTAAAATGGCTACATAAACAGCACTAGGGGCAGGAGAAGGGGTGTGTTTGAAGAGAAATCCTGCAACCGGTATCATCCCTGACCCTCTTTCCTAAATGCAAATTGAGGTTAATATCTGCCTCAGAATTTTTAAAGAATTACATATGGCAAACAGGTAGCTTAATGTCTGTTGTGTAGAAAGTACTCAATAAACATAAATTGTCTTTCCCTTCTCTTGGAGTTTTGGTTATAACTAGTGCAGAGAACTTGGACCAAAGAAAAGAAATCAGGAAGAATTTCCTAATGTGAAGATTAAACTGCCTTCTGACAGCAGAAGCAGAGACAGCATGTAGAGGATGTTATAATTTTAGGGAAATTTTTGTTACACCAGATAAATCTCTTGACTGTGTAGGGCTTTTGAGCAGCCAACATTAATACACCATTTTATTAAACATTTATATTGGTCTTAAATAAAATGTTGACTTCTATTATTTTGAATCTCTCCATAAAGAGGAAAACACTTGCATTATGTTACCCCTAGTAGTGTGCTGACCGTATAGAAAATCTTGCCTTTCTGCAGTAATAATTCCATGATTTTGGTGTGTCCACCTTGGGCAGCAAGAGCAAGAGGAGTGAATCCGTAGGAGCTCCGTGAGTCAGGATGTGCCCCAGAAACCAGCATCAGCTTCACCAAGTCCAGTCTGCCTAGCTTGGCTGCTTCATGGAGGGCTGTCCTCTCATTGGCACATCGCAGATTAACATCTGCTCCATGACTGACCAGCAAGGCAGCCATGTCATAGGAGTCATGTAGAACAGCTGGAAAATGACAAATGAGGGTGACATTATGTTCAACAAGGGGTTAAGGTTTGTGTCATATTGGCTAGTGCCCTTCAGGCTTCTTAAGAAGCTCTTCCTAGCCAGGTGCCGGTGACTCACACCTGTATTCCTAGCTACTGAGGAGAGATCAGGAGGGTCACTGTTTGAGGACGGCCTGGGCAATTGTTCTCCAGACAATTAGTCAGCTAACATAGTAACCATCAAAACCAAGCAAATCTGGGCTGGCAGAGTGGCTCAAGTGGTAGAGTGCCAGCCTAGCAAGCACAAAGCCCTGAGTTCATACCCCAGTACTGCTAAAAAAACCAAAACCAAAACCAAACAACCAAGCAAATCAACAAATCAGAGCTGGAAGTATAGCTCAGTGGTAGAGTACTTGCTTAGCATGCATTAGGGTCTTGGGTGGGACATCTAGTACACACACACACTCTCCATAAAATGCTTGGGAAGGCTGTACATTCTATCACTGTCTTCAAGATTCACTTTGCACATATGTACATAGAAGTCTGAAAAATCTTGCAATGAACTTGCTTCACTAATCAGCATTTCCCATGATGTATGACAGAAATGGAATTTGACCTCTGGAGAGACAGAACTCATGAGGGGAAACCAGCTCTCATCACCATCAACATTATAACAGGCTTCACAGTCTAGTGGGCTTTTTACGTAAGACTTTTACAAGGTAATCACTATTATCCCTATCTTAGAGATGAGGAAACTGTGGTGTAAAGAGGTTAGATCTGACCAGAGTTCTTTCCACTACCTTATGCTCTATGGTGCTGTATAGTTTTTGAACTGCTTTCTCAGTCAGGGTTCTTCTGCTCAGTATTTTTTCTAGAAATGTTAAGACTTAGAGCAGTGTGGGATGAGAACCCCCTCAGACCCCAGTTTTCAGCAGTGCTCTGTTGCTATTTTCTTTTTAATCTTTCTATTTTGATAAAAATTATGAAGGACTTAACCAATTGCTACAGAGTTTTTACCTATTTCCAAACTCCTTTCTCCTTCCAAAGAGGCATCTTTTAGCTGATTTTTTGCTATTAATGTTTCTATTTCTAAATGACCTGGTTATGAAATCAGAGAACAGGAGGGCGGAGTAAGTCCTGTCTGAGGGGTTGGTATCAGTGGGAGGGGAAAGTGTGTGGGAGGGTGAATGTGGTGCAAATACTGTGTATACATGTATGTAAATGGAAACATGATACCTGCTGAAACTATTCCAGGAATGGGGAGAAGGGGGATAAGGAGAATGATGGGGTGAATTCAGCTATGATATATTTGATATATTGTGGGAACTTTTGTGAATGTCACAATGTAACCCCAGCACAACAATAATAATAAAAAAGCAGACATATGGATCAATGAAATAAAGAGTTCAAAAATAAAAGATACAATAAAAATAAACTGGTTATATTGCTACTTTTTACTTTTTGGTTTTGGTGTGAGGATTTCTCATCATGAAAAATGAAGGTTTAAGTTTTTTTCCTCCTGTGTCCACCACGCATGCACATTTCTAATTCCACAATCCTTCCAGTACTTTTATAACATAATTTTTGTTAGCTGAACTTTCAGTGTTTACCTTACTTTGTGTTTTCTATTCAAAACAGGGCCATTTCTGCCCAACCCCATCCCCAGCATTCTTACATTTCATTTGCTTGGTTTTCAGTTTGCTATCATTAATTCAACCCCACACTCTCTAAACTATCTAAACCTTTTAAAACATTCATTCCAATCCTGTCAGGTCTTAAAGAAGCCTCTACCTGCGGCCTGCTGACCTGTTCCAGGCTGGACCTCAGTGCCTAGTCACGTATCCCATCCAAGGATTACCACTCCTCATTACCACTCCTCATTACCTTGGCGCTCCCAGCTGCCTGCCACCTGAGTTGGATCTTTGCCTTTGGCTCTTGAGCTTTTGTATTTCTATTTTACTACCCTGTTGGTAGACCATTGGCTCCATTAGCTTCCAAGAAGGGTGCGTGACAGATGAAAGTTTCTGAGCTCTTCAGTGTCTGAAAATACATGTCTTCAATGCCTTTAATCTAATTTCAGATTTAATAGTTTGGCTAAATATAGGATATTCAGTTGAAAATAATTTTCCCTCAGAATGTGTGAAACTGTTCTCTATCAATATCATCAGGAATCTAGTTACCAGTGAGAAGTCTGAAATCATTTTATTTGCCATCTTTTATATACAATATAGTCCCTTTTCCCTCCTCAGGAAACTTGTGGAAGCTTCTGTTTGTCCTTCGCAACTATGTGGATCTTTTTGCAAGTGATACTTTTATTATAATAAAAAGGGCTTGTGTTCAGTGAATTTATGCTATATGCTCAGAAAAGACTCATAATCCCTCCTCTTAACAGTTTCATATCTATCCTTGAATTACTTAGTTTTCCATATATTCATTTTTTGGGAAATTTTTTTGATGGCTTTGAGTTCAGGGCCTTGTACATGTTGGTCAGGTGCTTGACCACTCGAACCACACCCCCAGCCCTTTTTGCTATGATTATTTTCGAGATAGGGTCTGGTGTCCATATCTAGGCTGACCTGAACCACAATCCTGTATGCGCTTCCTGCTAGGTAGGGTGACAGAAATGCCACAACGTTCGTGATCTTCCCGATCTCTGCGCTGCCCCACCCCCACCTGGCCAGTAGCTGGCTGAAATTCTAATCAGGGGGATTGTGACCTAAGAACTTTATAGGTTGGTGTATTTGGGCCATTTTGGGGGGAGCCCCCAGTGTCACTATCTTTAGACTCTCTGCTTGTGCTGGTCAGCTTCTCCAGTGCAGCCTCTTTCTGAAAAGTTAAGTTCTGGCTGCCAGCTTTCTGGATCCTTGTAGAAGAATCCCTCTTTGTGGGAGGAAGGTGAATGCTTTCAATCTATGTTTGCTTAGTTCCTCCAGTGTCTGTAAGCTAGTAGTCCCAATGTCACCTAAAATATCCTCTGTCCTTAGCTATCCAGACAATAAAGCCTCCAGAATTCTGTTGGGGTCGGAGAAGAGTTTGTCCCAGCAGATGTAGTGGGAGAAGCAATATAGAGATTTGACTGCCTGCTTCTTAGTGGTTTTGAACCAATCCTCCCATTTCACCTGTCTGCCTTCATCCACGTTCCATGACTGCTTCCTTCTTACATATCTTACACTAGAATCCACTGGTTCTTTTAAGGTACCATGCAAAATGAGCTGGTTGTTATTGGACAGATTTTCCATCAGACAACTTCATAGGCCAGTCTAATAGAAGGCTGCTTTTGGGGAAGAAGAAAGTGTGGGTGGACAGGGTCTCACTATGTAAAATTTATGATCTTCCTGCATCAGCCTCTCGAGCAGAGCACTGATTACAGGCATGTATCACCAAGCCTGGCTTTATGGAAAGCTTGTCAAGTTCCCATGTCTGGTCAGTTGGGACCACAGGGACAGGGCGATCACTATGCATAACAAACTGCCTTTCAAACTGTGGGTATAGAGGAGACTCAGAGTGACAGACTCTTCTCTAGAAACAAGGTGTTCATTTACCTGTAAGAAGAGGAGAATTGCCTTCAAAATTCTTAGCATTTGGATTGCAGCCATTGAGAAGAAGAAAGCTGGCATTTTCTAAGAGGCAACTGCTGACAGCCAGAAAAAGTGGCGTTTCACCATTGTGTGTGGTTTGCTCCCATAATCTGGGTTTTGAAGCTGAAATAAATTCATCACATCGCACAGAGTAAGATACAAATAAATTTTAGATTTATTTTTCAGAAGCATCAAGGAGAGTAAAAGTGAGCTTACCTTTCAGGGTTATTTCTAAAATGTTTTTATTTAATTGTACAGCAGCCTTATGCAGAGGAATCCAGCCTCTGCCATCTGCTTCACCAAAAGCAGAATGGTACTTGGTTAAGTGCGACAGTGCATCTTCCTCACCTGTTAAGAAGGAGAGTGAGAGCAGATTCACATTTGGCACATGATCAAGGCAGCTGGTACTGCTTCTGAATCCCACTGCCAGTTAGTGCATGAGGTAATGGGATTAGAGATCTACCTTTAATGGCAGGCACATTGAAATGGCATAGGACAGGCAGTAAGGCCTGTGTAGCATCCCATATCACCTCAATGTCTTGTCCCGTATAGAAAAACACCTGCCTACAGAGGAACCCAGGAGCTCTTTGTTAAGCAATGTGGAAGTATTTCCTCCCAGGAAAGGCATATTAGACTCCTGACAATCAGCTGTGGTCAGGGGATCTCAGCATTTGGAAGAACCATTTTCTAGGCTTTCTGAGCACAGAGGGAAATGCTGCCAGCTGTCACCATCACATCTGACCACAACTTGGTAGGAGAACAGAAAGAGTACTTAACTGCCTCTATTGTTTGAAGAATCCTCTCATAGTTGGCACCCAAAAAGGAATGAAAGCTGCAGAGAAAAAACATGTATGTAATTCCAAACTACGGGGAAAATGAGGATCTCTGATGTAAACTGCAAGGAAAATGTAAACCATAGTAACTGATCCGGGTGGCCTCCCATCTGAGGCAATGACTGGGGCTTCACAGAATACTTCTCGTGAGTCTGGGGGTTAGCTCGGTGGCAGAGGACTTGCTTAGCATGCACAAGGCTTTGGTTTTGATCCCCAACATCACCCCTTCCCCCCCCAAAAAAAGAAAAAGAAAACAAGGCTAGTATTTGTAAAATGTTAATGTCTCCCTTAACATGTTCTAGGGAACTCCCTTTCCATGTCTTTACCATTGTGAGGGGTTTGCTCCACATACAGGATTTTGAAGCTGAAATAAATTCATTGCATCTCACAGGTTAAGATACAGAAATAAAATTTAGATGTATTTCTTAGAAGCATTGAGAAGAGTAAAAGGGAGTCTACTTTTCAGGGTTATTTCTAAAGTATAATGCATTGCAGCCTCATGCAGAGGAATCCAGGCTATCCCACCCACATCATCAAAAGCAGCCTGGTAGTTGGGTGCTGATCAGACAAGATAGCATTTGTCTGAGTGTGCTCGACTGCGGACTGCTCACATCAGGGTGATTCTTTCACCACCAAGTGACCCATTGGTCCTCTTCTACTATCTTACTGGCGGAACTTTGAATTCATGCCTTCAGAAGGGGTTAGTTTCTTCTGGAGTTAAATTTATGTAATTCTTTCTTTTGATTTGAGTAGATGAAGACTGGACCCCTCCTCACCTATCTCACTAAGATAGCTTGCTATGGTCTTGGTTGGATATAAGCATTACTTTAGCTCCATGAAGATTTCTTCTCTAGTCCTTCATAAGCCTTTTATTTCTTCCTTCTGATTTTTAGTCGGCATCTCTTCACCCAGATTTACTGCTACCCTCCTTCAACTATTTCCTTTACTGGTTAATTAAACTCTGAACTTTCAAGTTGGAGGTGTAACTCAGTGGTAGAACACTGGGTTCCATCCCTAACACTGAAAAAAACCAGTTCCCTGTATTCTAAACTTGTCTCCTGTTTTTGCCACATTAGAGTTTTGCTAACGACTAGTCTCATGTTGAATACTTACTAGAACAATGCCAGTGAGAAAGCCATTACCTCTCATCTTCAGGTGCATGTTGTATTGCTCCTGGCTTATAAAAATCCTGTAAACTCTCTTGAATAACGAACTGGGTGTCAAAGTCAGTGTCCTCGTCACTGTTGTAATTATCCATGTGAAAGGCCAACAGGTATACTTTAAAGTCAGAATGAATTAAAAACATTTTTCAGTTGTGAAAAGATTATCAACTGCTTAAAATTATAAATGAAATTCAGAAAATTAAAAGTTGATAGGACTGATAAATGAAAAAAAGAAAAACTTAGATAACAAAATATTAAATAAAATTTTTCCATAAACTTAAAACAGTTTTCTGGACTGCCACAGATTCAACATAAAACAGAAGTTTCTATGACTAGCTATTTACTTAAAGCTTATTCAGGAAAACAACCTTTCATGAAAGACTTAGGTCATGCCATTGAAAATGTTTATATTGATCTATTTTAGACTTGGCTTGCACCCAAATGAACATCTTTCCTATACACAGTGAGTGTTATACTGAAAATAATTATTTTTTTTGGTATACACACTAAAATTAAGCATGTTACAGGAAGAAATGTACTCTCTTAACACAACATATAGTAGGAATAGCAGTAGTGAAAACCAATGTATTTTATTAGACAACATTTAAATGGTTTAAAAAGAACACTGCTGTTTTAGTACAGAATAGGTTCGATAACATACCAAAGACTTCTTTTACCTTTTGTTATGTTCTGTAGGACAGCGCTGAAGTTTCACTGTTAAGGATTAGCGTATGCAAACCTCAGGATTTTCATTTATATTTAGGATCTCCACGTCCTGCAGTGACTGTTATAAATAGCTATACTATAAATATTTCATCATAAGACAGTCTGGCACATTCTCCTCTCCTCTCCTTGTTTTTCACATGTGGCTTAGTTCTGTTTGGAAACATGACTTCTTTCCTTTACTACTAGATTCATCAAATTTAGAGGATTATATTTTATTCCTGGAATAAAAAGCATTTGCAGGGGATTGTCTATGCAAAGAGAATTCACTCTCTTCAGACTTGTGCACATAGCCACTGCAAACCAGAATTTACTACTTAAGAGAGGCCAAACATTTTGCTCTGATTGAATTATCAAAGGTGACTTCCGATCAACCAGATTCACTGGGTAGAGGAACCTACATTTTCTTCATGTTACAGAACTGCAGCTTTAATCCTAAGGAAGGAATTAACTTTACACAAGACTAAAATTTTGTTTTGTTGAAATGTTTGTTAAATCGTCAATGTACACTAGTGCTATGGATGCACACTAAGTAGTAAGGACATTAACTATGAAAAATAACAAAGCGAACATGTGACTTGTCCAATTAAAAATGAAGCAGATGCTAAGCAGCACAATGCCGTTGTAAGTGTGGAGGCTGGGGTCGCCTGCAGCACCTTATCGCCTTTACGTGTCAACCTCGCTACTTTGTCTTTCCTTTGCTAGGCACAGGGGCACTATGAGAAATGGAACCAATATTTTAAAAGTGTGAAGTAAGAGTAAGAAGGCTGCATTCCAATCAGGAGCAATATACCAGGGAGGAGAACACTAAAAAGACTATTTCAAAGAATGACAACAAGATGCTTAATTTTACAAATTTTGTAATATTTTAAGTAGATTAAAACATTTAAGTAGATGTTTTCTAAATTTGTCCAATTTAGTCATCCAACTGACAGAGCAAAGCAACACCACGCTTGATCCAATGTTGAGTGGGTTGGTCTGTTTTTAACAACATTGCAATGACAAAGTTAGTAGAATGTCCTGTAGTGGAAAGAACTCCTTTACGTTCACTTGTCTTGTAGAGAGGACAGACATAGGCATCTGACTTCATAATCTGAGACTTTTCAGCTTGAAAAAAAGAGAGAGGAAAATACACTTAATAATAAAGAGAAAATAGCCACTGGTGCTAAAAGAACAACTGTTTATCTTGTAACAAAACAGCCATGATCTGTATTACCATAGTTGAAGATTTTAAATTTTTTTTTGTTTTTTTTACACTTAGTATATTATTATTGTTGTGAAACAAGACAAATGATTTCATATGGTGCATGTTCTAAATCTAGAAATCAGGAATTGATTTTAAAGTTTTGATCACTAAGCAGGTATGAAAAAACTTAAGAGGATTTGGGAGAAAAGGAGTAAGAGGAAAAGGACATGGAAGAAGGAATAAAATAAGTGTGGGGAATGAGGGAGATTCAAGAAAAACACAACTGCTTAGGGTTCAGCTATCAGAAATTATTTGCCAGGTGTGGTGGTACACACCTATAATCCCAGCTACTTGAGGATCACAGTGAGGCCAGCCTGGACAAAGTCAGTGTGAGACCCTATCTGAAGAACAAATTAAAAGCAAGAGGACTGAGGGTAGATCATTTGCCTAGCAATTGTGAGGCCCCGAGTTCAATTCCCGCTATCACCAGCACGTGCGCACAACCTCTTACTAACTCACAAAAACAACCTATGTGTAATTCCTGAAAAGCCAGCTATGAGACATTACTAGTCCTTTTAAACTATGCCACATTTCTCATATCCCAGCCACAGTAATCATAAAAATATGCGATAAACTGGGTGGTGGTTCTGGGTGCTTTGTAAATATTTCCATTCATTCTTACCTAAGAAGAAGAAAATTAAGGCGGAGGGTACAGCTCAGTGGTAGAACTTGCCTAGCATGCTAGAGGCCCTAGGTTCAACCCTCAGCACCAATCAATCAAAAATTAAATAAAATAAAATAAATTAGAGAGAAAACAAATGAGGGAATCTCATTTTTTTTTTCAGACTAAATAGAAAAATGATGATGGCAGAAGGAGCAACTGGCCTCCACTCCATGTGACCTGAACTTCTATGCCTTGGTGGTCCTGGCTCTGAGACCTTAAGGCTTTCTTATATCTAGGAAATCCTAGTCACCAATTGCAGTCTATTTGTACTTCTCAACAGTGTGCAAAGGGAGTTCAGAATTAAAATATGAGAGGGCAGCTGTAGTACCTCTGATGGGAGATGAGTATGAGAGAACAGTGCAGAAAATGGTACCTCCTATCAGTTCAGAGCATAAAGAGGTGGTAAGAGTGATAGTCCCAAAATAATATAAATGCCACACATAAGAAAGGGGACGATAAATTTCCGATGTACATGTTCCATGATTTTTTTATTATCATTGAGGCAAATCTTGAAGGTTTGAGCAAAAACTTAATTGTGGGAGCAGTTAATATCTATAATCATTCTCCCTACAACTCAAGGAAATTATGTTAACAATATATTTACTTGGTTTTATCCATATGATGGGCATCAGGTCAAAGAGAAGTTTAGGATATTGTTCAGCCAGCAATCCACTGTAAAGAGAAATTGACAGATTTTTTTTGTTATTTCTGAAATTTGCTTCTTAGAACATGTTGCTACTTAGATATTGGCTTTTAATGTAAGAGAGGACCAGAAATACGGGGAAAAAGAAACATTAAAAAGGAAGAAAAGGAGGAGGAAACGAGGAATATGGCAATGAAGTATTGGGAGAAACAAAAGAAAATTACAGGAAGGCAAAGTGTGAAACGGTGAACAAACCTCAGTGCCTGCCAGCGTTTAAGGACTACCCATGAAGCAGACCTTCACCATGATCCAGTCTCTATTTCCTATTCCTATTTCACAGATAAAGATTGTAGGCTCACAGACACTGAGTACTTCTCTCAGTTATATAGCTTTCAAGTGTCAGCATCAGATTCAAACATAGATCTGCCTATCTAGAAAATCTGATTTCTTTTTGCTATGCTACCATTGTTTGTTGGAAAGGAGGAAAAAAAGAAATATATATATATCAGGAAAAGTAGGTGAAGAAAAACTGGCAATAAAGTGATGAAAAAAAAAAAAAAGAGAAATGATCAAATGACCCATGTTCAGTTGGGTTTCCTCACAACCCAGTCTCAGAATTTTCTCTGTAGAACCACCTTACTACTCTTCTTAGGCGACTGTTCCTACCTCAGTCTTTAATGTTCTCTTGGGAACAATGTCTAGTCATGCCTGTAGAAACAGACAACTGTACCTATAAATGAATTGTTAAAGACCAGGGCTCCATGGGAAGTATTTTTTTCTTCTCTCCTACCCCCATTTATTTTAAACCAGGAATAGTTTCTTAAGAGTGAAGCTGGAAATCCAGTATTTATTTGAAATATTTACTTATTCTTTCATCCAAATGCATGAAAGCTTTCTACTCGCTAAGTGGGAACTTGATTAATACTGTCAAGCTATTTAAAATTGAGCTGTCTTCTATATTACAAGACGGAAGGTAACTGTTATAAAACAAAAGAAGCAAAAAAAAATTCAGATAACATTTCTACTAATGAGACCACTGAAATACTAAAAATTGTATATCACCTAAAAATTATCACTCATCAATTTTCCTACCCTGAGTAATGATCTATGTAAAAATTTTGACATCATATTACTTCGTCTAGTCCTTAGAAGAGGACTTTGACTTAAAACATACAAAAAAGAAAAAGAGCAGCAGAGCTATAGGCGTGGCTCAAATGGTAGAACACCTGCCTAGCAAGCACAATGCTCTGAGTTTAAATCCCAGTACCACACGCACAAAAATTAGAAAAAAATACAGCAGACTGCCTAGCTTATCTGTGATCAGCTACAGGTGAAGAGGATTTTGGAGTTCAAAGTACTGACCTTTCTCTGTCCCAGCGTGCTCCATCAAGATATAATCCATGGATGTAAACACCATCTTCTGGTGACTCGTCAGATGTGTCACAAGGAATATCTGAGGGAGAGACCCACACAAGTAATGATCTCCCTCCATATACCTTCTTCCACATAAAGAAAACACTGGGTGACCATTCATAATACATCAAGGAAACCTCTACTGTGGAACTGTCAAACTATAATTTTTTTTCAATCAGAGTACGTAAAAATGTGTACCGTATAGGTCTTTCTGAAGCATTTTATCAGGTTTTATTGTACTTCAAATTAATTTTTGCTAAAATAGAACAATATTGAATTATTTGAATCTTATTTGAATCAAATATTGAGATACCTGAAAGTTCTATCCCAGAGATAGCAAGACAAATACACTTTCTTCATTGGCCATAAAGAATGACAAGCAGTAAAATTACTTATAGTGGGTCATAATACATAAATTCTGCATATCTTTTTTACTAATACATGATGTAATGATATATGGTTGAGTTTAAGGAGTTACTGTACCTCAAACTCATATCCTAGTAAATCAATAGGGATGGTATATTTTCTGGCATAATTCTGCATAGCTCCAGTTAAAAAGGCTTGGGTGAAAAAGAAACCTGACAGCCAAAACACACAGGGTTTTCCGAAATTATACCAGTTCTACAAAGGAAAAAAACAAAATATATTATGTCAATCTTTGTACTTACACAAATGTTACCTTATGTACAATTCCTGATTCTGATTTTTGTATGTGTTAACTCCACTTTCCATCACAATACTCTCTTCCCTGACATCAAACACACCCTATTTCTTTTCCCTTCAGGGTACTTCCAAGGTACTCTTCTTGGAAATTCCAAACAATGTGAGCATTAATTTGAATGAATCATATTTCAAAAGATTCAAATCTTCTGTAAAAGGCCAACTGCAAATTATTTAGGGATTTATTATATTACTCATCCCACTCAAAAGCCACCATCTTTAGACATCTTATGCACTGTCTAAATGTATCTATCATATGTTGATTTCATTTCCTTGCCTCCATGCCCATTGCCCCCTCTAGCTCAGATACTCATGGTCTTCTTTCTGTATCAGTGTGCACTGTATTCTTGCTTCTTCCCTCTCTCTGCTCAATCCATTCAGAAAAATGCTGCCAGGATACACTTGACCATGCACAGTTTAGATTTATTATCTTGCATAATTCTTTAATGATCCAACAAATTAAAAACTAAACTTCTTAGTCTCTTATTCAAGATATGTCACAATCTGGCCCCAAAGTATAGTTTTAGCCTTATAGCTTTTTCACTTCCCTTCAAGTACCCTATATTCTAATTAGACTGGATGGACCCCCTGGTGGTATCTTCTGTGATAATTGAACATCTGTTGTTAAAGTATGTTAAAGTAATATTACTCTCCTTTCTCTCTGGAGGACAAACCCTCCTATACTCTCAGTCCAAGTCCTTCAGGTGGTAGAACTCTACCTAACTTCCTAGGGTGGTCATGTGATTCATGCTTGGCCAATCATATTTCAAATCATAGTGACTGACTATTCCTGAATGGACATGTGACCCAATCAAAGTCAGAGATGCAGACACTTTTGCTGAGAATCTTGGGGAAAAGATTTACTCTCCAGCCCAGAAGTTGTGTGGTGTAAGGCCAGAGTTGCTGTTGATGTCTTGCTATAGACGAGAATGTGGGATGGAGTTAACAGAAGGGAATGGAGCCAAGAGATGACATGCAAGAAGCCAGGGCCAGGTAGCCATGTTTGAACTCCAGGTCAAAACCTGCCGGAAGCCACTGTAGCCTCTGGGCTTCCTGGATACCCAGAGAACAATCTTTCTGCTTATGGCAGAATTTCTGTTATTTAAAGTGGAATCAATCCTAAATAGTCCAATCTCTTTCATCCCACAGCCCCACAGCTGTCTGAAAGTCCTTTAAAAAAATTTTTTTTGCAGTATTCATGACTCCTCATCCTTCAGATCAGCTCAAATGCTATCTCATCCATGAAACAAACTCTACATTCCTGAACCTAAAGAACTCTTTCCCTTCTTTGAACTCTTAGAGCATTTTACAAGTTGGTCTTTTATGGCTCATCCCTTACTAAACCATATTAGTTTATTTATTTTTTTGTTTTGTTTATAGATAAATAGCTTGTTTCCCTGTAGGCTATTGGCAGCTTGAAGGCAGGACACGTGCTCTTAACCTTTTTTTTTTATCATAGAGTATTGAACAGAGGAGAGATCTCAATTTGTATTTGTTGAATGAAATGAATTTTGCCTTTGAGCAAGCAGAGAAGCCAGCTTTGTCCACTAGGAGGAACTGGACAAATTGCTGCTAGAGATGTTACCACAGCACAAGTTAGCAGATCAAGAGAAGGTGGTGGTGGAGGGGTAATGGAGAAAAGGCAGAGCAATATACAAGGTATGCATTGCAAAAGACCATGGTGAAACCCCTTTGAACAATTAATATGCACTAATATAAAAAAGAAGAAACAGAGAAAGAGATGGAGTCTAATAAGGTCAAAACTCAGGCAGAACCAGCAAACACACACACACATAACACACACAGAAGCTATAAGAACCCAGAAGGCAAGTATGTGAAAACTCTTACTCACCCACAGCTTCACGTAGGCAAGAATTTCATTAGCATATGTGGTCAGCTACTTCTACGATCTTGAATTAGTTATCACTTACCAAATGCTTAGTACATGCCAGGCACTATGCTAAGCACCTTAAAGGCATCCCCTCATTTAGTCCATAAAATAACTCATAGGTTAGGTGTTATCCCTCCCATTTTACAGATGAGGAAACTAGGGTGCAGAAAGATGGGAAACTTGCTCAATGTTGCAAAGGTTGTGTCAGATCTAGAATTTATCCTAAGATTCTAGCCAATGTGTGAAAAGCTTTAAAAAAAATAGGCACAGGAAGGAAAAAGAGAAAAAGCTATGGATTTTCATGCTTGTTTTCCTCTAAAATGTATGCATTAAAACTCTAATTGGAGGTTTGGCTCAAGTAGTAGAGTGCCAGTAAGGACAAAGCCCTGAGTTCAACCCCAGTCTCACCAGAAAAAAAATGAAACAAAACATTATTATAGGGCTGGGAAAGTGGCTCAAGTGATATGAGCACCTGCCCAGCAAGTGTGAGGCCATGAGTTCAAACCCTAGTACACCAAAAACAAACAAACAAACAAGAAAACCCAAACAAACCAACCAGCCTGTAATCTACAATTTCATGGAATTCGGAGGTGGGACCTTTGGGAGGCACTAAGTCATGACAGTGGAGCCTCATGATGGGAGTAGTGCCCTTAAAGAAACAGGAGAGTTGGGCTGGGGTGTGGGTGTGGCTCAACTGGTAGAGGAACACCTAGCAAGCACGAGTCCCTACAAATTCCAATACCTTCAAAACTAAAAAAGAAATAGGAGAGAGCTCTCACTCTGTCTCTCTGTATCTATGTCTCTGTATGTGTGTCTCTTTCTCATATCTGTCAAAAGACCCTTTACCTTCTTGATCTTGCACTTTCTGTACTCCAAAACTGTGAGGAATAACTGTCTGCTGTTTAAGTCACTCAGTCTACTTTATTATGACAGCCTGAACTAAGTCAGAAAACAAACAGGGTGAATGGTGAAAGACAAATGAGAAGAGGATAGAGAATTCTGGGAACTCATTTGCTTAATTTGTTGACTCTGAGAAGCATTAGTAGGTGAAGAGGGGTCCAGGAGAAAGAAAACTGTACAGCTTACTGGAAGGGTAAAAAGACAATAGGGGAAACCCATTCAATATTTTATTCTATACTGTTTTATTCTATATTACTGTAACAAGTAATATATATTAAAGACTCCTATAAATTTTTTAAAAGCTCCAAATAAAAAATGGGCCTAGGATAAGAATAGGAAATTCACAGAAGAAAACACAAAGAGCTAGCACACATGCCAAAAGAAACACAGGCTCACTAACAACACAAGGAAGTCAAATTGAAACAAGATATGGCTGACCTATTAGATTGGAAAAACTTCAAAAAGGAAGTATGAGAAGGCTGTCTCTCCAGATGCTGACAAGTACTAGTTATTTTATGATTAGCTTCAGCAGTGCAACAAAGTCTTTGTATAGAAAAGGGAAACTGTTATGGTTTGGATCTTAAATGCTCCCCAAAAGCTCCCACGTGGAAGGCTGGGTCCCTGCTGCTGGTGTTACTGGGAGGTGGTAGAAACTTCATGGGTCGGGGCCTAGTTGGAGGAAGTCAGGTTATTGGGGGTCGGGTGCCCTTGAAGGAGACACTGTGATTGCTTTCTCTCTGTCTCTGCCTCTCTCTGTCTTCCTGCCTACATGAGATGAATTGCTTTGCTCTGCCACACACTCCCTGCCATGATGTTCTGCCCTTCCATAGGCCCAAAGTAACAGGGAAAACCATGAACTGAAGCTCTGAAACTCTCAGCCAAACTTTTTCCTCCTTTTAAATTGTTTATCTCAGGTATTTTGTACACAATAACTGAGCACTGAAAGATCTCATACCTTTGTGAATTTCCAAAAATGTATTTCTGGGATTCTTCCTACCCCATGCCTCTGCATAAACATTAACTGTAGATGTGGGAAATAAAGGGAAGCAGGGGAGTTGAGGAGGAAGAGCAGTGTCCTGCCTTGGTTTTTCTAGGTCCTGAAATTCATCTATGTGACAGGACAGAAGGGTGGAATTCAAAGCACTCATCTTTTCTCTGGTTTTATGACACAAGTGATAAGAAGCACTCACTTTAAGACAGTGGACATTTTTTTTCTTTAGCAATACTGGGATTTGAACTCAGGGCCTCAAACTTGCTAGGCAGGTGCTCTACTTCTTGAGCCACTCCACCAGCTGATAAATTTTTGATAAATCTAAGCTCAGGCTTTTTGTGATTTACCAGAGGTATCAAAGTTACAAGACAACATTGAACAGTGGTCTCTGAGCAGCACAAATGTAGAACTTTTAGAAATATAAACGTCACTTATTATTTGGATTTGGCTAAAATAAAATTTAAATTTTCTACTTTGTACTTTAAAATGTCTGTATGTTTCAATATTCTAAAATTTTGGTTAGATTACTGTGAAATTACTAATCATATTCCATTCAACGGAGAGACATTAACATTAAAGTGATCACCAACATCAGTCAATTACCAACATCTCCCCCGCCAGTAACAAGTACATATAGATGGTCTTTTACTGTATTTATAATCTTTTACCTGTAAAAAGTCCAGCCGGGCTAGAAAATCTGAGATGTAACTTCCTAGGGGCTTAAGACTTGGGTATGATCTTTTGGCCCACATTTCTGGAACCTTTCCAACAAGTAAGCTGCCAGAAAGTGCCTCCAAGGCAGAATCCATCACAACCACACCTTTAATGGCCTTTTCAAGGTCTTGTAAAGTATTGCGTATAGTTTTAATTAAACTGCAATGAAAGAAATTATGTCATCAGCATATGTGACAGTAAGTATCAACATGTAGAATCATGAAATACTCAAAATAGCCAAAGCAATCATGAACAAAAAAGGACAAAGCTGGAGGCTTTGTCCTGATTTCAAATTGTACTATAAAGTGATAGTAATTAAAATGGCATAGTACTGGCATAAAAATAGACATGTTAACCACAAGAACAGAATAGAGAGACCAGAAAAGAACCCCATGCTTCTACGTTCAATTGATCTTTGACAAAAGTGCCAATAATACACAATGGAAGAGTGACAGTCTTCATCAGTCTTCAATAAATGGTGTTGGGAAAACTATATATGTATATGAAAAAGAATGAAATTGGACTCTTATGCCACACCATATACAAAACAAACTCAAAACAGACTAAAGACTTAAACATAAGATCTGAAACTATAAAACTACTAGAAGAAAACGTAGGAAAGAGACTAACACGACATTAGTCTGGGCAATGATTTTTTAGATTTGACCCCCAAAAGCAAAGAGAGACAGATGGAATTACCACAAAATAAAAAGATTCTGAATAGCAAAGGAAGCATAGAGTGAAGAGATAACCCTCAAATTAGGAGAAAATATTTCCAGATATCACATATCTGATAAGATATTAATATCCATAATTTAATCCTAGCTACTCAGGAGGCAGAAATCAGGAGGATCGTGGTTTGAAGCCAGCCCCGGTGAGTAGTTCCGTGAGACCCTATCTCGAAAAACCCTTCACAAAAATAGGGCTGGTGGAGGGGATCAAGGGGAAGGCCCTGAGTTCAAGGCCCAGTACCTCAAAAAAAAAAATTCAAACAACTCTAGAAAGAAATGTGCAAGAAACCAGAGTAGAAATTTTGAAAAAAGAAAATATTCAAATAGCCAACAGGTACATTAGAAAAAGTTCAACATGACTAAACACTAGGGCAATGTAAATCAAAAACAAAATTGAGACATCTTCTCAGTCAAATTAAAATGGCTATAAATTAAAAGATAACGAAGTTCCAGGCCAGCCTGGACTTATTTTATGCTTCCTGCAGTCACTGGGATGCCAGGAATGTCCACTGTGTCTAGTATTTTCTTTTGAGGTGGGGTCATATGAACTTTTTTGCCTGGGTTGGCCTGGAACCTTGATGCTCCCAATCTCAGCATCCATGTAGCTTGGGAAGACAGGTGTGTACCACTGCATCCAGCTTTTGGTTGAGATGGGGGGGGGGTCTCTCAACTTTTTTGTTGGGGCTGTCTTGAACCATGATCCTCCTGATCTGGGCCTCTCAGCTAGCTAGGGTTATAGGCATGGGCTGCCAATGTCTGGCTAACATGGTGCTTTAATGTACTTAAAATGTCAACAAGAAACCAAAATAAACTTGGAAGCACTACAGAAAATTCATAACCAAAACAATTCTCTATTTCTTAATCCAGTATTAAATTGTAAAATTTCAATAACAAATTCAAAAGCAAAATTAATTTATTATCATGATGTATCTATTCAAACTGGATTGGACTCAGTAAGAGAAGGGAGATATATGTGTGTCAGATGGCAGAAAAAAAGATATGACTACACATAGGCCTAGTTAATGCTCACTTTGTCTTTACTTCTCGAGGAGAACAGTAATAGGTGGATAAGTGTTTATTGATGAATATTTTTAAAGGGGTCAAAAGGTTATGGAACTTTATAAAAGGGAAAAATTCAAGAGTGAAGTTTTGATATCTTTTCTTAAAATTTTAAATTCAATGCCAATGTCTCATTTTATCAGTTTTGTTTGTTTGCCTTTTTAATCACTGCAAATATACTTACTTATTAAATCGCTCCATTTCTTGTACTAACACAGTATTCATGCTCTCTTCGTATCTCACAGGATAACTCTGTAGTGCTGCTTCAATGTCAAATTATTTGGAAGCTAAAAGAATAGATTTTGAAGATCATAAATTACTCCCAGAATGGATAGTTTTATTCAGCTATAATATCAATAACAGTTAACACTAGGGTATTGCTATGTGGCAATACCATGCTGTTTTCTACAAATCGTCTCATTCAATCTTTATTATATAATCTTAGGTGGCCATTATTACTTCAATTTCACAGATGAGAACATTCAAGTTCAGAAAGGTTAAATTACTGGCCCAATAGTACACAGTCAAAAAGTGGTGTTGTTAGCTTGGTGCAGGTGGCTCACACCTGTAGGCCTAACTGCTTGGGAGGCTGAGATCTGGAGGATCACAGTCCAAGGCCGGTCCAGACAAATAGTTTGTAAGACTCCATCTCTAAAAAAACCAGAGCAAAATGGACTGGAGGCATGGCTTAAATGATAGAGCACCCAAGCTCAAAGCCCTGAGTTCAAACACCAGTTCCACCAAAACAAACAAAAAAACAAGCATTGTGTGTTTAAATCCAAGGTGTCTGACTCTGAGACCATGTTCCTAACTACTATAGTGCTTTGCAGGAAATAGGTATTTCTGAATAGTTGTGTAATTACTTTTTGTATATCAAATCTTATTTTCTATCATAAAACTTATTTACTATTTAAACTGTTTATATTTGCTTCTAATCGATTACCAACTGGTTCCAAGTAGGTTAGCTTATCCCACTACTAAATAATTAACACTGTAAATGTATCAGTGTCTAGGGCATAAGGAAAGAAAAGGCCACCAAATGTCTGATTTCTATGAGATACCACCAAGACAGCTGAGAAGTGATAAAAGGGACTTCAGCATTGTTGATTGAGTCCTGAGAAACTGGAATTCACAATTCTAAAGGGGCAAATAAGTTTCACAATCAGGGAAGTCCTAAACTGATAGTCAGTTACCCTGACTGTCCCAGTCCCTGGGTGGCACAAAAGGATCTAAGTCACACTGGTAGTGTCATTCAGGGTCCTTTGGCTCAACACAATTCCCTGTCCCTAAATAAATTCCAGTGTCTCTGCCAGATACCCTGTTAGGATCTTGTAGGAGCCACCACTGTTGAGGGCAAGAACCTTTTCCATAAAGCTAAACTTCAAGCCAGCAGGTGCCAGTAGTAGGAAAGGCACAAGGCAGAAGCAGCAGCACAGGATGGGGCAGCGTAGGCTAGTTTGCTTCCTTCCATGGCTGCAGGCATGTGCTGCTTCCTTTCCTCCTCCAGTGTCCACAGCCAGGGTTATGATGACTGGTCTCACCTTAAGGAGCAGTGAGAGTCAGGCAATATTGCCCACGGCTTTGAAGGCAAGTTAGGGTCACGATTTCCTGCTATTAGGTCTGACACTGAAATATGGCTTCTTTTACAATACTTACCTTGGAGGGAGTTGTAAAGATCTGTGTCTAGTTCCCTTGGTTCTTTACTGACTTTTAAGACTGACA